GATCAGTGTCCATTTTTAATGTTTATGCTAGAATAAGAATATTGTCAATACTGATACACTGAAGATAACAGGAAATCATTTGAATGTACTTGTTTAGGAAATCATGCAATGTCATATAAATGGCCACTCAGTTGCGCTTGGTGCTCCTTTGAAGTGTACTGTGAGGTTTAGAAGTCTGTACTGTAAGATACAGGCAGAGTTTTTTCATGTTGTTTTGGGCTCAAGTGCAAAACACAGTCAGTCAGGCCATAAATCAGTGGATCTGCCTGGTTTTTTCCCAGTTGATTTATTGCCGTCTTTGTTGTACTGAGAAGAAGAAAACAACAGCAACCAAAACATTGCAATGAACCTCTTAATGACAAGTTATTATTAATAATATATTTCTTGACTACCTGTTGTTCCCAATAAATGCTTTGGTCTCCAAGGTAGAGTTGTAAATAGAATAAGCCCGTCAAGCATTTTGTCGGCGTTAATAAGTTTTATCTATAGATTGAGATGGCTACCAAAATAATGAATAAACAAGAGTCAAGTAACCATCAGGTCCACCAGGGCAAGTTTGAAACAGATGCTTGGGGCATTAAGTCAAGAAAATATGGTAAATCGAATATTGCATACGTGTGTATTTGGAGCTGTGCTCACTGCCTTCTAGAGAATTCAGTATTAAATAATACCCACATTTAAGGCCTACTCTCTGAATGTCTGTCTGCATGTTCCTTTTTTACCCAACAGATACTGAAAATTCTACAGAAAAAATCAGCGACTTTGCTTCTTCTAATGCTAATAGTGAGATAATTAAGGAAATGGCCAGCAAGTTGGACCAGAAGTCACGGGTTAATGGATATTGGATTAACCTTGGTCAACAATTTAAAATTCCTGGTGACAAGTTAAAAGAGATAGAATATGGCCAGTTCAATCCAGCATTTGCCTTGATGGAATACCTTTATTCAAAACAAGAGCATTTGACAGTCGGAAAATTTTATGAAGAGGTAGAGAAACTGAAGCGAAAAGATGTTTTAAAGAAGCTGGATCCATTTCTAAGTGGTAAGTTTTGGTGACTTTTCCAGTACTGATCACTAAGATCGACTGCTTCCAGGAGGGAGGTGGAACTCCCATATTAAAAGGACGGGGTGCTTGTCATACCTTTTAGGGGTTAAGAAAGCAGTTTTGGTACCTCTTAGGGTGTTCCATCTCAACAGGTCCACAACGGGAGCTTTCACTGTTAATCATAACAATTACAATTTCCTCAAATGTGATTGGTGCATAAACTGCTGTATTTT